ATATGACAAACTCTCCAACTTGTAAAAAAGGATTATAGAGTCTCATTTGTTTACTTGCTTTTTTTCAATTTACGATTCCCTTTTCTATCCTCAATTATCGCAACATCCACCCTGCAGAAGGTCTATAATGGTACAAGGTTTATTTGTCAAAAATTCACAAGAACTTTTGTAGAAGCTGGGATTGCTGTTGGTGATAGAGCAGATCCCATTGTTGTGATTCCCAGCATATCAGTATCTTCAGATAATGCCAACGTACCATTTACCCTCCTTCGACGTTAATTTTCTGTCCAACCTGCATTTTGAATGAACATCAACAAATGGCTATGTCAAACTCTCTCCTTCCCTACTATTTGTCTCCTTAAACCCGTTTTCACGAACGCTCAATTTTTTGTTGCTTTGTCTCGGTTACGTGATTCTGCTAATCTTAAGATAATGTTACTGAATGAGCCGCCATTATCAACACTCGCAGACAATGTTGTATTTAACGAAGTCATAACTAAGACCAAAATTAAGTACAAAGTAATCATTATCAATAGAATTATTTTTTATTCCATTTATAAGCATTGAGTTGCGTCGGGGTTCGCCGCAAACTTGTGATGGCCCCCAGCAAGAACGTAGGTTATTTTTACCGTAGCAAAGCGAAGGTCAAATAATTGCAAAAGTCGGCTGGGCGGTGTTCTCGTTTAAGTAAAAAAGTATTCTTATTACACGTTTCCAGAGATGAAAGAACAATGAACAACAGTTTTCTCATTTGCCATTTGGTGAAGGCAAAATCTGTTTTAATCGTTACGACATCAAAAAGGAAATCGTTGAATGTCGAGGTGGGCATTGAAATAATGATCATATACATTTTTTTAGCTTTATTCTTTTGTAAATTGAACCTGCGAACAAAGTCCAGACTTTTTTTAAATATCTGACAGAAAAAGTGACTTTTGTTTAACAAATACACTAACACGTCATCAATTGGCGGGGCGCAGCTGTTTTTTTTTATTTTAAACATGGATTTTTTTTTTATTTTTTTCTTCTTTTTCTTTAAACAAGTCTTCCAAAAATGATTGAGAACGTTGTTAACGACGAGTAAGTATTAAATAAGTAATTTACAAGCACTTCATTTACGCGATGCTAATGTTGAGAATGCTTAGGTTAATGTGTGACATTACACACCGTGGCTACTTGTTTTTTGTCTTCGTCTGGTTCCACGCCAGCTTTGCCTTTCTTTTCCTTTGGGAAAAATTTGCTTCTTTCTTTGGTTCGGTCTGCGCTTCTGCCCGTAGTGGTCGCCGACCATTGAGTAAAACAAAATCGGAGGTGATTGGAGAGCTTTTTGTCCTTTGTGATGGCAAAATTACACCAGTCGCCTTGGCAAAAAAAAACTCCTTGCTGTCCTCTTCTTCTTCTGTGGCTTCTTTCGCGGCTGTTTTGCCATCTCCTTCGAAGGTCCTCTCCTCTTCTGTTGTTGCTTCTCCTTCTGTTCTTGCCTGTTCTGCTGCTGCTCCCTCTCCTGCTGGTCTTGAGCCCTCTCCTGAGGCTGTTGCTTTTTCGTCTGTGTTCCTCTCTCCTTTTGCCGTGCCCTCTGTGGAGTCTGAGGTTCCTAAGCAGTCTTTCGTCCTTCGGTCGGCGCCCGTCTCGTTCAAAAAAATGGACAGACAATTCAGCTACTTGGACTTTGCGCGTGTTGTGGGCTTGCCCTGCCTTAGTGATAGTAACTTGCCTACTATCGGGCAACCCATCCCCAACGTTTCTTCTGGGGTTTCCTTTGGCGTTGGCTGTGAAGCCATCACCCAAGCATTGCTTGCGGCTGGTGTTGTTGCTCCTCCTGTTGCCTCGGTTGCTCCTCCTGCGGCCTCTGCTGCACGTCCTGTTGCCTCGGTTGCTGCTCCTGTTGCCTCGGTTGCTGCTCCTGTTGCCTCTGGTGCTCCCCCTGTGGCCTCTGGTGGACCTCCTGTGTCCTCTGCGACTTTTCCTGCGGCCTCTGCTGCTTTTTCTGTGTCCTCTGCTGCTCCGCCTGTGGCCTCTGTTGGTCTTCCTGTGGCTTCTTTGGCTACTCCGGCGCCCTGTGTGGCTTCTCCTGGGGTCTCTGTTGTTGCTCCTCTTGTTTCTGTTGCTCCTTCTGCGGCTGTTGTTGCTGTTTCTGCGCCCTCTGTTGCCCCTCTTGAGGTGCCTACTTTGGAGTCTGGCGTCTCGTGGAGTTCGTTTGCTCCTTCCGTGACTGGTCCCTTTGTCTTCGGTTCTTCCGTCTTTTCGTCTTTGCCTGCTTTTAGCCCTTCTGGTGTTAAGCCATTGGTTGGTGCCTCTTCGGTTGGCATATCCGCCCAACCTGCGCTTCCAGTTGTTTGCTCGACTGCTTGCTCCCTTCCTGTTTCTTCTGCTGGCGAGTCCTTCTTCGCCAAATTAGCTGCGGATGAAGATGGTAAGAAAAAGAAATTTTAAACATATTATAGTCTTTCTAATTAACGTTTTCTTTTCGATGTAGAATATTTGGACTCGCTAGCAGAAGAAATTGATAAACTTCTTGATCGAGATTTCGATTTTTAAAACTTTTGTTCATGTCATTATTTTCAAATGTGCTTTCGTAAATAATCTGTGGAGTTTGGTTATAAAGAGTGGGTATATTTTGTAATTTCAAGTTGAAAGTTTGGGTTGTAAGTTGTTAATTTAGAAGCACACAAGTCAACATCATGACAAATTTGACAATTTTTATGTCATTGAAGTAGTGTGGAAATTGTACGTTTTTTCTTTTTGAAAAATAACCATCAGTTCATTTAACACATTATCACTTCGAAATTTGAAATTGGCGTACGATGGACGTCCAAACCATTTTTTTAGTCCGTTGTCTCGTATATCAAGAAGTATGATAAAAAAATTGAAAGATAAACAAAAATACGACAATGAGTAAGAACACACACCGAAAAAGTTAGTTTTTTCGTTTATTTAAAAATAGAATTTTCGTCTCAAGAAAATTCTTTTTTTCCCTTTCAGAATTGTTTATCTTTTTTGTTTTTTTTTTTTTGCTGAAATGATTCTTCCTCTTTGCAATGGCGGCCAATGTTAAAAAACACTTTCTCATGAGGTCGAAAGAGAGCTTTGCATCAACAATTCCATTTCTTATATTTCGAAACAAAAGCGCTTAAATGACATGCCGAACAGCAATATGTACAGTAACACTGATATCCTTACTTTTCAATGCAACAACATTAAAATAGTAACTGCTTTAATACATTGTCCAAGAATGACTGAAATGGAAGAGATCATTCCGGGCATCGAAACAGTGTCCATTGAACAAGATTTGTGCGCAACGTTTAAAAAAAGGTTTAACCGGAAACCAGGTTTATTAATAAGTATTATGAATGACAGAAGCATCCATAACGTCGAAGCATATGGAAAACATGATCGAATAATTCGGACATGTAAGCATGGTAAATGAAAAGAGCGATGAAGATGAAGAAAAAGAAGCAGAACCAAAACGTAGTATTAATGGGAATGTGACAAGTTGTGCCAAAACGAATGTCGCTAACTATGCAGAAATGAAATTCAAACATATTGCACAACACCAAATTGAAACCAGTCAAGATTTTTATAATGCCGAATCACAAATTAGAGTGACATATATCCATTATTTGCTACTAGTATCGATGTTAGAAACGCCTCATTAAGATAGCTGCTGATACTACCATTTAGTTTTTATTACTACTTTAAAGTTGGCTAACGGCAGTAGCCTACCTGGTTTCCAGAAATGGTCCAAAACAATTAAAATAAACTTAAGTAATGTCTGGAAATATAGTGTTACGAGATATTAAGTCTGTACATAGAATTGGAATTAATCTATGCTGCTGAAGTTACAAAGGTATGATGAAATACATTACCGTTCTTAAAATCGTCTTCAAATCGTTACTACTCTGAACAAAACACCCTATTAAGAATCATGGCTTTTGTCTCCCAGAACATCGACGTTTATGACGAATCTTATTTTGAACTGGTAAACAAATGCTATGGCAGAAAATCAAGCTCAAACTTACTTATCTTTACAAGATCTGAGATCGTTCGTTATATGAGTTGATGGTTCGCCTTAAATTGGAATATAGAATCAACACTAGCAGCGGTAGACATATTGGGCTAGGAGTGAAAAATCCAAAAATCGAAAATCGAAAATAAGACAAAGTATTAAACAGATCTCAAAAAGGAACCAAATTGTATTGAACATAGAAATAATGATTTCTTTTATACAAAATGAATACAACAAAAACTAAAAGCGGGACCATGCCATCTTGGTTGGATTATATTCAAATTGTCGTATTTGACGCCTAATTCCACGAATATAATTACTCTTATCTTGTCACTCAATTATAATACATATAACCTATGTATTATAAGTACCATATTGCGAATACATTCCTATTGGTACGACACAGTAACAGCTCTCTCATATGTCAAACTGAGATCAGATTTCATAATCGTTCCTGGATTGGTCGAGTAGCTGCCGAATCTTCTAGTTTCTCATAAATTTATTTTAGTAATCCAATCAAGGACCCTGTCATTGAATGGATAAACTATAATGCTCTAGAAGTGCCGGATATGGGTCAACTAGCTCCTTGTATATAACAATAAGCTATGTTTCATATGTATCTGATTTCTAAATCTAATTCTACCATTTCCCAGTTTGCGGGTAAATAGTCAATTCGATATGCGCAGGAAAAATCTTGAACTAATAATTGAATATAAAAAGGACCTCTATTTTTATCATGACAAACTCTCCAACTTATAATAAAGGATTATAGAGTCTCATTTCTTTACTTCCTTTATTTTCCTAATTTATTTTCCCTTTTTATTTTTCAATTATCACACAAATATTGTCCAAGCTGTAAATAAACCCGCAAGGAGCAGTAAGGAGAATATAATAAAGAACCCGTCCTTGAATGGGCATTTGGTGTTACGTGAACTATGAAATTAGCAGCTGACATATGATAAATATGACAGCAGTGAGAATACTTCAATCGTCGTAGCACAAGTATATTACCTTCGCTAAGGTGTATTTACAGCTCTCATATAATAAAGAGCACATTACGACGTACATGATGAGAACATATTCAAAATCGGAACAATAACGGTAGTCTTCCATTCTCTGCATAATCAAATATCTTGTATGTATTTCCATATTGCTATTCCTTTAAAATCCTGAATAATGCGTGTTGTGTTGAAAGGTGAACTAAAATTATCAGAAAACTAAAGGAGAAGTTTGATGTTGTTTATAAGATGTCCTTATTTAAGAAATAAAATATGCGAGTTTTTATGTAAAAGACTGTCTGTTGTGTTCATATCACTAGTGCTATATAGAAGTTATCAATGATCAACCACAATAGTATACGATTATTACATAGTTACTAATTTAGTCTTGTTCTAATAAATGTGAGGTCTTTTGAACTCTCTTTGCTTTAAGCTAAGCTTTGAGTACTTCTCAGACATACTAAGTTAGGCATTGATGTAATATCCTTATAGTTCTTACTATGATATTTATTGTTAAGCTTATATCACAAATGGTATAAGCACGTATAAACAATTTTTAGCTGTAATATGACTATAGCCTTGCTACGTTATTACTGTTTATACAAACACAACAAAACAATCACAGGTATCGTGAACAGAGAATCCCGAAAACGCATTTGTTGCTTCAAAATCCTAAAAAGTTTAATAAGAATTGTAAAAAAGAAAGACCTAATCATGTCAAGGTTGTTTCTATGACGACGATAGTTGTGGGATGCTTCGTATTTGGATAGACTAAATATTATAAAGTATCAATAAAAGCGATTCTTGTCACAGGCAAAATCTAGACGACTTACTTGGATTGATTAGTGGGTAAAAGCAAGGACGAAAAAACATTTGTGATCTAGAGCCTCTGGAGCTATTAACCTTTTTGTCGGGTCAAGAACAAGTAACTTGTCTAAGAGGTCGGCAACAGCGAGATTATAACTGTAGTATTCGCGTCGAATACGTGTCACAGTGTTTTTAGACCTGGTCTTTCTAGCATCTGGTAATTTGTGCCAAATTGGCATGTTCTGTTGATTGGGTGAGCGACATAAATTGAATATTTTTTTTCAGCTGATCATGGTTGTCTTCTCTTTGTAATGTAACCCTGGATTTGATAAGCTCACCGAAAACACATCCAACGCCCCAAATTTCAATTGCACTGGTGTATTGTCCTTCATTAAAAATCATCTCAGCCGGTCTATACGATCTAGTTACAGCGGACTTGGTGTATTCCTAATTATCGTTTTTTATATCACGTGCAAGACCGAAATCTGCAATTTGTATAATACCGTCATTGTCGTCTAAGATATTGGAAGCTTTAAAAAATTTAGTTCAATCCGAAAAACCTTGTAACCATTTGAAATTGGTTTCATTTTTAGTTGTACAATTTACGTTTTATGTCGCGGTGAAGGATGCCTTTTCTTTTACAAAAACAGCGTTAGTAAAATAATATGTCACGCTAATCTTTACACTTTAATTTGTGCATATGCGCTGCTGCTTCGAATAATTACTTCAGGTATGTCTTTATTTCTTGGGGTGTTAATTGAACATTCGGGTTATACATTAAACCTGGCAAGTCATGTTCCATACGTGGAAGCAGGATATAAACATTTCGGCCTTTCAAAAAATAAAATACAACGGGTTTTAGTTGGACACTCAAGTCTTCAAACAAACATTAATCGTAACTGTATCAACCACAACGTTGCGTAAGGGAACGATATTTTTATGGTTGAATTGTATACAAATATTGATTTCCTGTAAAACAGAGAGGTGTATCTAATACGATTAAGACCAACTCTTATGTAGTTTACAGTCCTAGTATATTACACTTACCCCTTCCCCTTCGTCGCCGGTTGCCATTCTTGTTAACGCAACCAAGTCATTGCTTTGTTTCTTCCTTGCTTTCAAAACTTCACTGTAATGTAATAATATTTACTTCAGACTTGACATTCAGTAATTACATGAACTAATACAAACTTACTCGAGACTTCCCTGGCCAAGCTTATCCAAAAATTTATAGTCTGTTACTTTGGGACGGTCCTTGGATTGTGGTTCATTCTAGTATTGTGATAGTGTATGGGGTGTGGAGGTAATTGCTTCGTCATTCCTAGCTGACGATGGCATGTTTGAAGGTGAGTCCTCAAGCTTTCGTTTTAAATCATTTCGGCTTTCTTCAAATAAGATGTTATTGTATGATCTCTTGTTTCGCGGCATTTGTAAAACAAATTTTTTTTACATGAGCTTGTAAAGAGAAGAAGGAAACTTCAGCTCCGAAGAAAAAAAAACATTGGGAAGTATAAGACAGTCACACTATGTTAATTGTCGCATATATCAAATAAAAACGGAATTTGGATGCTTGAGATATTGGTGGTAAAATAAGCCATAAGCCATCTTGGTTAATTTTGACATCTCATTTAATTACAAATTCAAAGATTAGTCATCCCACACAACGGTAACCTTAATTAGCCTTAACTCTCAAAAAGTAAAATTCTGAAGGGTTCAGTCTATCTATT